TTTTTTTTTTTTTTTTTTTTTTTTTTTTTTTTTTTGAGATTTACAAGCAATACAGCAGGCGCAAATCTCTATGGTCTGATAAGAAGTTCCAGAATGGTCAAAAACATTTGTTTCTTCAAAGTCCTGTTTATTTTAAGAGACTGTCTGGCCACCTCCTGTTCACAGAGTAGGTCCACTGTGTGTGTGTGGATAGAATTCACATTTAGGCTGTGTGTGCATGAGTGGCTTTACAGGCACGGTTTTTTTTTCTTGTCAAAGAAGAGAAAGATGCTAAAGAAATATATGCCAGCTGAACAAATGGCAGATGCTGGCACTGTTTACACATGAGCATTTTAAAGGACCCGGAAAAAAACAGTGCATGGCAAAAATGTTGTGTTTACAAAAATGCATTTTTTGGGAATTTGCTGCTTTTGTGCACAGTGGTGAAATAAAGGTCCTTGTTTTCAATCACATGCACAATTATAATACATAATAATCATACATATCTAATAAATTAAAACATATATAAATGAGTCACATATATGAGCCTTCAAACAAATGAGGCATAAGAAATATCTACACACATACAAAAAAGCAATATAGGCAATAATACATACCTAACACTATAATAGTGTTTTTTTTTTTACTTTAGGCAGGACATGTGTCCCCTTCTTATAGACTCTTAACCATTCGGACCTCATTTACTTTTTTTGGATTGATTGATCATCTGGACCTATGGGCCCTAAACTGTATTTTAATCTCCACTATGTGTGTGCATAGTGTTGTACTTCTTTATGCCCCCTTTGTACCTTTTCAGCTTTCTGCTATAAATCACATGATTAAATTCATAGCTTTTATTATAGACTAGACTTGGCACCAGATTAAAGTGTAATTCCGTCAAAACCTTTGTTTATTTTTAAGTAATGGAGAGAGAGGGGAAGGGTAAGAACCCCTGTTGGGTTTTTCCCTGCTATGCAGATTTTTATTCTGTTGTAGAGATTTACCCTCACTTACTGTTAATATGACAACAGTTTTACCACACTGAAAGCGATGTAAAACCTCCCAACAGCAACATTGACAGAATAAAAAAAAAAGTATTGGATTTTTTTTTCAGTAGAGTGGGGAAAGGCTGTCCCCGTCAGATTTTTTTTATTGCTTGTGTCCCTGTTGCAGCAGTTTCCCTCACTTCCTGTTTGGTGGAACTTTTGTTCAAAAATACACAGTGTGACGTGCTGGGATTGACGAATCAGCACTTTGTGAGGCACCGCACACCAGCCACTGTGTGTTTTGCGCAGCGGCTGGTATTAATGGACCCCAAGGGTTTGTTTACATCATGTCTGTTGAGCTACATACATGTATGGTTTGTACAGGGTTCATAGAAAAGAGTTGTTTTCTATGTGCCCTGTTCACCCCATTAATGTGTAGCCGTGTGCATGAAAATGTGGCACAACGGACATGTTATGAACCAAACCTTACTATCCCTGTAACGGAGGTTTCATCAGACAGGAAAAAAGGGAAGCTTGCGTCCAAATTAGCAACATAATTAGTCGCAAATCAGGCTGCTTCTCATTCAGCAAAGTCTCTGCAACATGTGTACAGTTCTGTGTATTTGTATTCCTGGGCATCAATGTAATTACCAGCTGAACACCATACGGTGCTGTGACCAGAAGTAGGAGAGATGGTGCTTGTAGTGGCTGCAGCAGATGGCGCAATGGAAAATCTCAGGTACATCCATGTTTGCACCTTGAATTGCTTAGTGCTAGTGACTTATCTTCAAATACCTGTATTCGTGGCCAGCCAAGTGCGACAATTTGCAAAGTTTAAAGACCAATTAATGATTGAAGATAAGACAGATTTTCCCTCTAAAACAGACGCATAAATAAGAAGTGATCAGGGTCAGGTTTTATTTTGTTGCAGGGCTGCATTAGAGCAGATGAGTAAGGAATTTTCTGACTCAAGCTTTGCCTTGTGACAGAATTGATAAATGTCCCTCATTATGTTTAGTATTCAATTAAAAAATGGACAGTATTGCCTAGCTATGTTTTTTGGTAATATTTCTGCAAAGTCAGGATATTTATTTTTATAGATATAGAGTATAGAGTAATAGATTGTAAAGGTGCAGAATAAGGTACCAATATAAGAGCGAAGTTATGTGGGCAAAGTCTTAATTGCTAGGACCATTACCTTTTATGGTGAAAGAAAAAGCAACACACTGATGAGCTCATTTCACTGTCAATCTTTTCTTACCTCCTGTCAGCATGGCTCCTTATGCTGCTTCTCCCTCCTTCTCTGAACTCTGCTATACAGACTGTACAGTATACTGTAAGAAGCTGATACTAGGTCAAGTTAAGTTACTTACACGCCTTGCATTTAAAAAAAATAGAATTACTAATGTATTCATGAATAGAGTGCTGCATTTATTTGTGCCTTTTTATATGTTCAGATGAGATGCTTACTTTTGATCAGGTCCTATGAACATATAGCAATCAGTTACATTCTGTTCTGAGATTTGATATATTTGAAATACACCTCCCTTTCTATGTAGTGCAAGGAAGTTGGCATGATTTTACATTTATCAAAAATTATTGTGCAAAAGAGAAGCAACATTTTTAACCAACCACTCTTTTGGCTTTATCTCAATAAAACAACTTGCAGAGTGCAGATCAATTACTGCATAAAACTATTTGACCTATTTATTTATTTTTACTTGGATTGAATGGATAGTTTTCTGCTTCAGCTATACTGAGTATTGCCGTTTTCTTTGCTTTGGTTTGCCTTGAAGCCATCTAAGATAGCGGAAAATACAGCCATGCAGCAGTGTTTTTGTGAAAACGTTTAAATATTTGTTTGTGGAGATTGTGGCCCTAGGCCGTTCTTTATGTATAACTCTTTTCTATAAAGCTGAGTAGCATGACCCAATCATTTATTTTATAGGAAGAGGTATGCATTGTAAATCTGAGGAAGCTTTGGCAAAGCCTATAATTAAGGAAAAGCATTCTAAAACAATATTGTTCTCCCTATACTTCTTTTCAGCTATGGCTTTGTGTCAGACTTCAGGGGTCAGTGTCTAGGCCAAGTGTATATTCTAAATCAAACAGTGTATCATTTAGCAGTTACAGTTATCCTTAAATAACATTACAGTAATAGTTATGAGCTAGAGTGAATGAAAGATGTTTTTTTCAAATTGATGTGTTTGTGCAGAACAATAAATGGGAAAAGAGTAACTGTCAAATAAAAATATACAGGATAGAAAAATAAAATTGTTTCAGCCCTTTACTTGTAATCTAATGAACAACAGAGCCATCTGCATTGCTTACTAAAATGGTATATAGCCACAAAGGACGCTGGTAGCGGGGCATTCCTGGGAGTGAGGTTCAGACTTACAACAATGAGTAGACATCTCCTGTCCAACTGATTCTAGGTGATGAATTTAACAAACAATGATGTTGGCAGTATACTAATGGCTTGCACTTCTGTAGGGCGTATAGGCATGTATTCTTATGCCATTTTTTTTCTCAACATTACAGAGAAACTTGTGATTTAAGTGCCCTAGTAACACACTTCTAATCACCTTGCCAGCACTTCCTTGCTGCTGCTTCCATAGCAGCTGGCACTAAAACTGGGGTCAGACAGTGGGGTCGGTGGTGACATCACCCCCCTTGGTCATGTGACAGTACTCAAGCCCATTGATTGGCTGCTAGACCTAAGGACTGTTAAAGGGGAGCAGGCCACATGCTCCTCAGTACCTGGAAGTGCTGGGCATTGTTGCTGGCACTGATGAAGGCAGGAGCAGCGGGGGAGCCCTAGAAAGGCAACGGTAGGTCAAGAGACACTGTAATTTTGCCCTGCATAGGTAAGGTGACAATGTCTCTTTTAACCCCCCCTTTGCAGTGCAAAGGCAGTAGGGTCAGGTCCTTGTTCTTTCATTTTATTGGAAGCATTAATCAGTCTTTACCTGTAGATACCATCTCAAGAAATAGAGACTCATAGCAACTTTATCTTTTTCTTTTTTTACAGTCAGGACAGCCAAGCCCGGCAAGTTCTACGTCCAGTTCAAGTTCCAGTTTGGCACCACCACATAACCATAGACAAGGTATTAAACAAATAATAGACAATAATGTGTGTGTGAATGTTTTCAGTGTTTAAAGGGGTTGTTTAAAAAATGTTTAATTGTTAAAGGGGCTGTTGGAAGCACAAATGTGGAATTGTCTGATTTGTTCACAGGAGTAGATCTTTCTGCTGTTGTGTAAATTGACACATTAACTGAACAGCATCTGCAGTACCAAGAGGAATTACAATGTAGCAGTGTTATTATTGCCTCATCATAACTTCTGTGATTCATAGCTGATGAGTGACCTTTGATGCACATATGATGTCATTTTAGGCCACTTGGCTAAAAAAAGGTGTTTTGTATACTATTGATATTTAAACTTTATTTTATTTTTTTCAGCGACGCATTTAAAAAAAAAAAGTACACAATTGAAAGAATACATAGAATAAGTGCTTTGTAATAGAAACAACATTTTGTGTTCTTATATGCAAGACAAAGTATGGAATAAAACTTATATTTTTTTTATCTACAGGAACACTTGTTTTAAAATTACACTGGTCAAACTAGAAAAAAAAAAAAAGTTTGTTACTCTTTTTTTTGTCTATAGATTCTATATAGTCTATAAAATGTAAAGACAATACTGTCAAAGGAAAGTCTTGTTTTTACTGAAAGAAAAATCTATATGTATTATTTTGTTATGTTAATTAATGACAAAGTTATTGCCAGTTCATTAGGCCTATAGCTGCCTGGTAGCTGTATGCCTGACAAACAATCTTCTTTTTTGAACCCGATTTGAACCCGATTTGAACAGAACAATTGGTTCTCCACCCAACTTCTTGTACCTCCTTCTTGTACATCAGATTGCCTGTTTGAGGAGTTCTTAAACGATACACAATTTTTGTTCCTCTGAAGAAGCCCCGACGGGCGAAACATGCTCATGTTGGGACCTTATATGAAATAGTATATATTTAGCCTTGGAAACTAATCGTCTGACCCAAAATTGTGTGGCATAGCTACCATGTGGTGAATGTATTATAAAATATATGTCTTATTTTATCTTTTAATCTTTTAATTTATTTAGTGCATGATTATGCACTAAATAAATGTTTTTCTAAATTTTATATGGTGAGGTTTAGAATGTTTTTTTAAAGCCCCTTTCCCTCTGGGTAGTTGCACACCTCAGAGTGGAATAGTTATTTATTCTATGCATTATATACTGGGGTGTGAAACTTCTACTCTCTCTATCCCTATTTGCAATGCACGCCTACTAATGTTAACCCACATTTTTGTTTAGTGTCATGTGACAGTTTTTCTGAAACAATACAGACTAATGATTTCAGGACAGTGGTGGAGCGCCAGAGCCCGTCCCAGCTGCAACCCTTTGTAATGCCAAGTATCGGCACTGGTATCTGAACATCCCTAGTTTTCATTGTCAGATATTTGCTCCTTTCTCAGTCTATCCATGCTATCTAAACAGCACAGCATTTGAAAATATGCTGCATGATTCAGTCTACTTCACATAAAAACATTCTGGGCCTTAAAGATATGTTTCCAAAGGAAAAAATAGGCTGTAATTGCAAATAACATGTCATGCCTGTGATGAACTATAATTAATTTTTTCCTAACTCAGGATGCAGAATGAAAGCTAAAATCTTATTGGTTGCTGCAGGCAGCAGTCATATTTTCCTCTTTGGTTGTGCATTTATAAATCAGGTGCACAATGTTCTTGAGTTTTTGTGGTATTGTTGCTCACTTGTTGAACGTAATGAGGACTAAAGGGCAGAGGGAGTGATATGGCAGCACCATAGAACCCGCATTAAGATTTGAGGAAAGTGCTTGCTTGACCAGAATTTGACCTTGAACTCAAAGAAGCACATCAAAAACTAAATAGATCAAAAACAGGCAAACAAAAGGTGCCGCTTCAGAGACATCTACAATCAAATTGATTTGTTATCCTGGTTTTTTTTATGCTCACTATTGAACTAACATTAACACATTTGATGTAGGTATTACACTGTTCAGTGTATTTTCTTTCTGTTTTCTGCATTTTATAGATATACATCTTCAGAGTATGGGTACATTAATGTATAAAAAATATATATTTGAAACTAAGAAACAGTTTTAGGTTTATAGAAATATTAATTTGGTTAAGATTTTTAGATTGGAGCTTGGGGTGCAGTTTATTTTATGTGGATTAGTGGGTAAAAAGTACCCATGGAATGGAAATATATAAACTTTGTATGAACCTTTTTTTGCAGTCTTTGCATAAATGTGTGGTCTATGTTCTGTTTTCATGTTCTCTTTTATTTTAAAGTTGTCGGGACTGAAAATAGCACTTAGAAAAATAGTAGTGACCAGTCAAATAAAAGCTCTGCAACGAAGGTCAGACAAGGCTTAGAACAGCTTTGCATAAGGGATGTTGATGCGTCAGACACTGCCCTTTCCAGTTCAGTGGTGTTTTGGAATCAATTAAAAAATATATCACTCTACCTCTTTACCTATCTCCAAAACATAAACATTAACCCTGCACCTAACCCCCAAACATAACCCTTAATTGACATCAAACCTAAGCTATAATATTTTCATGTTTCTCCCTAATCTTACACTTAACAATAATCTATTACACCAATATTCACAATATTTTTTACTACATTTTAAAAAAGAGGGATAATACAATACAGGCGGGTACAATGGTTTTACATACAAAAGTTCTGATTGATAGTAGTAATTGAATGGGATATTATAAACCGCAAGTTAGAATAGACAAGCCAATAGTTGGGGGCTAAGTGGAGGTACTGGGGAAAATGGTAAGGGAGGGAGGGGTATGTTTTAATGAGGGGGTGCTTGAAGTCTTGTATTGGCTTACAATCCTTGTGTAGTTGTGCGGTGGGGGTAGCCATCTATTCATGGGACAAAGGTTGGGAGTGAAAAAGTCTACAGGTTGTACACCTTTCTCTGTCTGGGAGGGAACAAAAGCTAAGTATTAGGTAAAGGAGAGCTGGTGAGAGGCCTAAAGCTTAGGCTAAAACTTATAGTAGGAAAATACAGTTTTATATGAGACTAAGGTAGAAAACAGGGGTGGAAGTGGAATGCCAAGAGTATGATTCCTATTGTTTCCTTTGTACCTGTACTTTGTTCATTAAAATACACTGTAGGACGTCTTGATTTTTGTTTTCCAAATCCATAAGCAAGCTCTTTCTTACGCTGGCCATACACCTATAGATTTTCTGTAGATCTTTTTTCTATCAGCCTATGGTCAGATGGTAAAAGTGCAACGGATTCTTCCATCTACGCTAAACTGTGTGGATGGAGGAAACTCCCACTGGGCCAAGCTTCAGTATCTTGCTAGTCGGCCCCACTGATTAAAAAAAAAAATCTATAGGTGCATGGCCCACTTAAGGCATATATTCTCATTCAACTTAATTCCTCAGTGTAAACGTCACCTAATTTTGCATATTCCAAAAAATTTCCAACCACAGTTGTCTCCCCTTGATCATTTGCATGGAATTTAAGCCACAGTTTAGCATTAGTTATCAACATCAGAAATGTTGCTATTAGGAAGCAGATGGCAAGCTTGAATTGAGCCATTGGCTTTAGCTGGTTTAGTCAGCAAGGAGGATTCCTAAAACAGTCATTACCAATAGGTTAAGTCCTAGTTTTAAGAAAAGTAATTGTCACACACCCGCAGTTGCATATTTTTCTTTTTTTTGTCCCATGACTGTAATTATATGGACAGAAAGTGATGAAGGTAAAGGTTGATCCTCCAATGGGGACACCTGTCAAAAGCTGGCCATACATTGTTGTATTTATTTCATTCAAACTGCAGGCTGAACAAAATGTAACATTCCTCCATCCATGCTAAACACCGTGGATGGACAATTCTCCTACTGGGCTGCAGAGGCGGGTATACTGCTGTCAGAACAACCAAACAGTGATGGCAACCAATTGGCCATCAACCAACCCCCAGCTGCTAAAAAGCTAATAAATACATTTAGTTGCTAACAAATTTTTTTAGAGTGCCGGTTGCTTGATTGTTGGATAATGGGCAGTTTACAAAATCAATTGTTCTCAACAGTCTTGTAACATTCAGAAGAGATGGTCATAGCTCATATTTGATTAATAAAGTAGTGTTGTATATTATCATTGTAGTCTCTAGACTTATTTGACTGGTATTAAAGGAAAGCCATTTACAGTTTAGTTTTTTTATATAAAAGTGTGTCAGACTCCGAAGCAAGTTAAATGCAGTGTACTTTTATGTTGTTTTGACTTGCCTCTGAGTTGCCTATTAGTAGCGCATGAGCTGCCTTTTAAGCTGTTTTGAGTTACTTTTGTATTTAGATTGATTTAACTGGGTGGGAATTGCAGCTGAGATGCAGTTAAATGTTTAAAGAATAAATCAGGGAAAATCACAGCTACCCTTGCACTGCATTTGACTAAAATACTGATATTCAATGAATGATATTCACTTTGAATGGCACCCAGATGTACTAAGGCAATGCAACTCCTTGTGTTTCTGGGAACCACAATGCATGGCAAAACACATTTTGGTGCATTGCCAAATCAGCTAATTGAATGGCCTGTCTTTATGCATACCACACTCGTGTTCTAGTTATCTAAGATTTTATAAACCACTGGTACAAGGAGCAGTAATGCTAATAAACATTATCATCAACACTGTTTGAGCTGGCTTTGACAAATCCTAGGGGAAAAGAAGGCAAAATATACAAGGGCAACTTTAAGGACCCTTTCAAACCATTACTTTAAGGCACTTCTAGAATTTTTTTATCTTGACGAGATGAGACTTTCTATATGCTAACACTCTGATATACAATAGCCTTTTGTTTATCGAGACCAAGAAAAATATATCTGAAATGCTCTGCTTGCTATATGTTAATTTGCCTAGATTTCTTTACGTCTTGTACAGGTTCCCTGAGGTCTATAATGAAAGACCTAAATTCTGATGAAAATGAGGAAGAATCTGATGATCCTGAAGACAATGACTCAGAAAATGAAAGGACTATCCATATTCATGGAGGAAGTCGTGCTCGCAGGTACATCAGTAATCCAATTTTTACTTTATCCCTTTGTATCTGAGCTTATGGCTATTTAATTTGAGAAAAATAAATAATAATTTTTTATCTGGTCTAAATACTGGTCTCCTAAATACTCTGACAAGACCACAATACTTATTTACTTACTGATAATAAACCACAAATGTCTTATCCTGTTCAGGTTCTTAGGTGGGATTTAGTAGGAAACCTCCAAGGTTGTAAATCCCCCCTCCCGACAGAGTTGGTAACCTTGAACATAAACTATCCTAGTAAGATGATCTTTCCTTTACAGACCTTGAATGAACTTTAACAGCTACCGTTTAGCAGAGAGCAGGACAATATGAATTTAAATTTACTTGAGCCATTTACTTTTATTTACATTAAAGATTTATTTTGCTATTAAATTGACCTTTCTAACCACTTATTCATTTCTTGAGGAAAAATAAATAAATACTATAAATGAGACCATCAAAGCCTTATGTGCATGAATGCTTTTTACAGCAAAAGCAAATTAAAGGATTATTATCGTGCAAAAAAATGTTTTGCTAACTGTATGTTATTAAAATATATAATAATCACGCACTCAAAAGCGGTAACTTATCCTCATTCCACAACAAGTTGAAATGGTGGTCCCCCAAGATATAGAATCAGGGGTACTGTCCTCTTCTTTACTTTACTCTGCCTTCTCTGTCCTTTTCCTTCTCTTTCCTTGTGATTTCTTCCTTTATTACAAGCTATCTTTGACTGGTATATCATTGAGACTTGTTGTGTTGTTGAATACGTTAGTCACAACGTGACTCTCTTTGCTTAGTGGAAGCTGTATGTTTATTACTGTTTAATCTCCACTTTTCCAAACTGTCCAGCCAAATCCATATTTTGACCTCTGTAGGTGTACAAAGTTTGGTGCCCCAAATCAATACTCACTCTACTAGGATCACATCTATTAGAAGATTGTTTTACTGGTCTTAACCTGGCTTAGAATTTTGTAACCTTTATAATCACCCCTGGCAGTATCACAAAAATAACAGAATATTATTTTACTATTTCAAAGAATTTGTAATTGGTATAAACAGGCTAAAATAATTAGACTGGGCAATATATGACCTATTAACAATAGCATGTAAAAATAAAAATAAATGTAAAGTATTATATAAGTAATTATTTTAGGTATTAACTAGGGATACACCGAAATTTCGACCTCCGTAACATATCAGCCGAAAATGGCACTTTTGGCAAAATGCTGAAAGTGCCATATTTTGGCCAAAATAGCGGTGCATCCCTACTGTCTCTCCTCCGCGATGGGCGCTGCTCTGTGTCCCAGCTGAGAGGAGAGAAACTGCGACAGGAAGCCGAGCGGTGCAGGAGAAGAGCTTTGTGAGCGGCCGGCGTCCCTCCTCCCGCACCACTCAGCCTCCTGTCACAGGAGGCTGCGGTGCAGGGGAGGAGTCAGCTGTCAGATCGAGCTCTCCTCCCCACACCGCTCACTCAGCCTCCTGTGACAACAGATCTAGGAAGGAGAAGTGGGTACAAGCAGTCAGTGATCGCTGAGTGTTTGTATATAATTGAGGACAGAGTATGTTTACTGTGTCCTCAATTATGAATGAATGGGAAGTGATCTATATCACTTCCTGTTAATTCGTGATTGTGGACATGGTAAACATACAGCACCATCTCCACAAGTTATGAATGAACAGGAACACTCAGTAAAGAGGATTCCTGTTCATTTATAATAAGGGCTGCAGAAAAAGAGATAGAGGACTTTGCGTCCTCAATCTGTTTTTCTACTTTTAAAAGGGAAATATCAGGGGTCTGTTTAGACCCCTGATATTTCACCGAAGTTTACAGTACAGTAAAAAAAAAAAAAATATTGCTCAGATTACCTGACCCCCAATCAGCAGGCATTGCCTCAGCCTCTCTCCTTTTTCATATCTATGGCTCCCAACACCTAATTCCCTAATTCTCTAGAGCCCTGAACCCCCTGCCTTGATTATGACCCCCCTCCTCACGATTTCATGTAAAGTCTCTCACACCCATCACGTCTACAACCTCCCATATTCTCAAAACTTTTCTAATGAACCACTGGTGTTTGTGTGATATATTTTGTATCTTATCTGACCTTTTGTATATGTGTGTATGTACTTGTTTGTCCACAATAAAAATTTATATGAGAAAAAATAAAAAATATTTAATAAAAATAAAATATAAAAAAATAAAAAGTTTCTAAAAATAAAATATTTAAAAAAAATTTAAAAGATTAGAAAAAAAAATATTTTCAGTTTCGGCCTTACACTTTTTTAAAATTTCGGTTTTTAAAATTTCATTTCGTTGCACCTCTAGTATTAACATATTGTTGATATAAGTTGACCAGATTGATTACATTTAAATAGTTGAAATTCCAATAATAAATAAAAGGATATACAGTATATATCCACATATAAATAGGAGTAAACAAAACTTATGAATAGATACCTCCTACATGATGGAATATTGGAAATTAACATGGTCATTGATAAAATAGTATTAATAACACTATAATAAATGTTTTATGTACTCTACAATTTGAGAGGTTAGGCAAACTCGATCAGGAAATGAGTGCAACATATTTTAAAGAAAAGTAACCAGGAGCCGCAAAAAAGACAGTATTTGTTGTAGACTAGCATTTCACGAACATTAGTCTGCATTCTACTGATGAAAAGTTTGGCTTTATATAGTATAGGATGTACCTCCTAACACCCTACCTGTTCTTTGAGTATACAATTAGATCTTGTGACTATACAATATATGATTGAAGGCCTTTGACTCACTGCCTGCGCTGCATATGTTGGTAGGCATTGGCAACTTCTTTATGTCAGACTGACCTCAGGTTTATTCCTAGGCATCGTTTTCTACAAAATATTACATTGTATATTCTTTACTTTAGTTGAGTTGGTCACTGCTATTTGTTTTAGTAAAGCAAAAAGGAAATCAGTAACTATTTGGACAGCATACAACAAGCACTTCTAAGCCTGTCTTCTTTCTCTGCAGAATTAGCCTAAGTGATGGAAGCAATAGCGAAAGCAGTTCAGTTTCATCACCGTTGCGAAATGAGCCTCCTACCTTATTAAAAACGAACAGTAATCAGGTAAGATTCTTCCGACTAGCTTCACACACACTGTTCTAATTCGTTATGGTCTTGTGTTTTTCTGCACTATGGTAATGATACTGGAAATATGTCCGTTATTGCACCGTGTTAAGTTACCTACTGCACTTTTTTCTACTCATTTTTTTTTCCACGCCACATCAAGGGCTTGCTATTGCTGCAAATCTGTGAACATTTCAATGGGAACAGAAGCACATGTGCTGCCTGCACAACACTTTGCATAAAGCACATAATATACATGATTCAGCCTCTCATATGGATACAATGTTGCCTACATTTAAACCGTGCTGTTGTGCATGTATATTTAACTGTGCTAATATCCTTTCTTTACTAAGCTGCACTTTACCATGGTATTTCCCTCAGCCGCCATTGAGTACATTAGAGCACGTTAATATTTCTGTGTCTGGATTTTGTTATTCATTGGTCTTCCCATCATAGAGGGCTACTGTATTTCATGCTCCACTAAGTTCGTCTCTGACCTTTGTGATAAAGCTAACCTTTTAAGTAAAAGTTCAAGCTGACTGAAATGCACTGGAGTAAACCAGTCGCACTGCAAAGAGAAAACCTGGTTTGAAAATGCATGAATATTTTCAGTAGTGGAAAGAAGGTTTGAAAAAAAAACAATTCCTTTAAGAACTCATGAATGCATACATTTTTCCCTTACTAATTGAAAGCGAACCTTTTTCATTTTAGATGGAATGCGTAAGGGTTAGAACTTATCACTTCTTATTACTGTCTGCATACCTATTTAGCATTTGCCTCACTTTTTCCACGGATGGTGGTCACAGAAACAGGAAGTGAGGGAAACATTTTTATTGTCAATTGCATACCTCCCTATTTTGTGAGATGGGAAAGAGGGGCACATTATATCATGAAGTATGTGGGCAAAAGACACACCACTGCCCCGTTTCTAATAACTCGGACCATGATGATTAATGCATAAAAATGATTGGTTTAATCCAAAATGTATTTTTATCATCACTGCCTTTCATTTATTTTGGCTTTTCAAAATAACGAATGGTAGTACATCATTGGCAAGTACATCATTGGCAGCACGGCCCTGTAAATGGACAAAGCTGCCAAAACTCTGTTTACCTTTTGGCTGCCGGCTTTACAATAGAACTGCCGCCAGATTGCTTCTATGGGCCGGTAAAGGCCCCCCGCCCGCCACCACCGCTGTGTTTTCTGGGCTCAGCTGACCCTCCTGCGGAACTGGCATGTAAGCCCGCTATATATTAGCAATTAAAGTAAAGGAAAATAAAATAATATAGAATAAAATAAATGTAAAAATAGTAATAATAACATATGTTAATAATAATAAAATATGCGAGCGTGCGCGCATTCATGCAAACACGTAGGGTGTGTCTACCTATGAAAACGTTGATTGCGCTACACATGTTTGGTATTGCCACGCATGACAGAGTGAGAGCAATAACTCTAGGGCCAAGATTTATGCGTATCTCTTAACTGATGACCTATAGGGGATTTTAAAGCATTGTCTATGGTACTAAATTTTGTCGCCTTTTCACGTTCGCATGCACTTTTTTACCTGGGCATTTTATTGTGTTTTGGGGCACTAAAATCAGCTTAAGTGCATTTTGTACTAAATGTTTGGGTTTGATAGAGTTGCACCAATATTGTGCAACTGCCACCATTTTATTCTACAGGGTGTTGGCTTTCAGAAAATATATAGAGGGGGATTTATCAAAACTGGAGCAGACAAAATCTGCAGTTATGCTTTAAAGCTATTAGGTTGACAAGAAATGCTTCTAATGTTGAGCAGTTATATGCAGGTTTGAATGTCCTCAATGTTGTCCAGTCAAAGTGGCTTTGTTTACCTTGAAACCCTTCATGCAGGTTGGCTTTGTTAACCTTGGAACCATTAGTGTAGGTCAGCTGTGTTTACCTTAAAACTCTTAATGCAGGTTGGCTTTGTTTACCTTGGAACCATTAGTGCAGGTCGGCTTTGTTTACCTTGGAACCATTAGTGCAGGTCGGCTTTGTTTACCTTGGAACCATTAGTGCAGGTCGGCTTTGTTTACCTTGGAACCATTAGTGCAGGTCGGCTTTGTTTACCTTGGAACCATTAGTGCAGGTCGGCTTTGTTTACCTTGGAACCATTAGTGCAGGTCGGCTTTGTTTACCTTGGAACCATTAGTGCAGGTCGGCTTTGTTTACCTTGGAACCATTAGTGCAGGTCAGCTTTGTTTACCTTGGAACCATTAGTGCAGGTCAGCTTTGTTTACCTTGGAACCATTAGTGCAGTTCAGCTTTGTTTACCTTGGAACCATTAGTTGAGGTCAGCTTTGTTTACTTTGGAACCATTAGTGCAGGTCAGCGTTGTTTACCTTGAAACCCTTCATGCAGGTTGGCTTTGTTTACTTTGGAACCATTAGTGCAAATCAGCTTTGTTTACCTTGAAACCCTTCATGCAGGTTTGCTTTGTTTACCTTTGAACCAATAGTGCAGGTCAGCTTTCTTTACCTTGAAATCATTTGTGCAGGTTAAAGGTATATTGCAGCCTCAAGTATGGAAATGCATACCAGAAAAACAGCTTGTTGCTATTTTTTGATAGTGCATGGGAAGAAAAAGCAAAGACTTAGTTGCTGTAATCCATGCAAACACTTTGCATTTAAGTAGGTTTAATCTGTAGTGAGAATCAGACTGTATATGGTGAGTGTAAAGGAAAGGCTAGAGAAGAAATAAAATTGAATTCCCAGGCTTTGAAGCAGATTTTTGTTTCACTTGTCTCAGTAGAAACAGTGCAACATGCTTTGTTCCTGCTGTCAGAAAAAGACATATATCGGCTATATTCTTAAACCTAGCTATTGTTCCAGAATAAAAGCTGTCCACGAGCTTCTTGTAAGTTCCTTTGAACGGTTTGTATACTGCTCTGACACCCCTTTTGTTCCTGCAGCGTTTCACAGTTTTGGAGAATTTGATGCTCTGCCAAGCCTTGGCCAGCATAAATAACTTATAAATGAAAAACATAAAGGGGATGATGTATGAAAAAAGGCTTAGAGGACTTTTCCTTGTTGCCTGTAACTTCCAAAACAGTTCAGGTTAGAAAATGAATCAAGGATTGTGATTGGTCTCTACTGGCAACAAGAAATGTTTCTTTAACACAGGTTTTATACATTAGTCTCTTTGATGTGCACAGCAAACTGTCCTTTTACATCTCATCAAATAAAAAGGAAACAAAAGAATGCACAGAGTCTTATTTATACCAAATGGTAGAGTCTTGCAGTCTGTCCTTTTTTCTTTGTTAGAAAATGAAAGCTTACATATTCCTTGTTTTTATAACAACAGCAAGTACTGGTCTTGCTTTTTGTAATTCTTTAAGGAACAACTCTGGGCAAGGGTTAAGTGCACGTTTTGGTCTAGGGGCTGGAATAAAGAAGAATTGCTTACCTGATCCTGGCTCCCTCTGGTCTGATAGACTGGTGCCCGCAGCGTCTTCTCCGCTTGGCTCTCGTGGTCTTAGGACCACTGAGGTCATCATGTCTATTGCTGGTCCATTGACCTGCATTAGATGTGAGGAAGTGGAGGGACCTTCCATACCTGGAGAAGGTGAGTGCTGACTGCTGCAGGGGGGCAAGGATCAGGTAAGTAAAACAGCTTTATTTCAGCCCCAAAGACAAAATGAGCATTTAAGTTCTTTAATCTTCTTTTAATGGGGGCTTCCACTGTACAACTATCCCCTATTACAACACATACAAAGGCTAAAACTACATGGGTGACTCTAAATTGTGCCACCAAGTGATTTAATATCTGTGGCAGTGACACAATTCAAATCATTTGGAGCACTAAGCTACTATCAGTGGCTATTACTAAAAATCACCCATGAAGATCTTACTATTACAAACAATGGGGGACATTTATCAAACAGATATGTGACATAATTGGCTGCAAATCAGGCTGCCTCTCATCCCAAAAAAGACTTTACAGCAGGTTTACAGTCTTGTGTATCAGTATTCCTGGGCAGACAACTGTGACATTTTGCAACATTTAAGACAGATTCATTACTGAAGATTAGATAGATGCACAATTAAGAACTGGTCGGGGTCAGGTTTTATTCTGTAGCAGTGCTGATTTAGAGGAAGGAATTTGACTTCTGCTGTAACTTTGTACTAAGTCTGTTGCATGATCTGTCTTACTGCTTCTGTTAAGCACTGCTTTGCCTGCAACAGAATTGATAAATGTCTCCACATTGTGCTCTAAAGCAGGTGATTGATCCCTATTGATTTTTGTCATATGTTAAAAAAATCTCCTGTGTAGGCTACATATTAGAGCTATTTAATTGCTTAACTCATTGCTCAAGTTAGAAATTTCCTGGGCCAACTATGGGCTAATCAAAAGCTTGTTGTTCAAAATACATATTCAAACTGAACTTGACTAAGTCATAAAAAAATAGTGATACGTAGTGATAGGTTAAAAGGGTTAGAAGCCAAATGACAGTAGTACATGCCATGTAGGTATTTATCTAAATGTATTGATGGTGCACATGGATACGAAAAAGTTTTGCCAAAAAGCTGGAGCAGGCTTGTAAGGATAGAAATGATTTCTCCATATCAGTGCTGTGGGTGCTATCTACAAAGAGGGTTATACTAAAAGCATGTTTTAAGTAACCTGTCATGAGAGGAATTGGAATTATTACAGTTACCTTTTCAGTCTATAGCTAGCAAAGGTTTTCTGAAACGTCATTCATTGCTCATGTGATTTGCTCACTACGTTTCTTACAGTTTAAATCAAACCTTTATTGAGAACAATACACAAGTTGCCTGGCTGCTTCTGAAAGGGCTAGTTGCCTGGCTGCTTCTGACTTCAATATTTTTAGACACTGGCTTTGAATAAGCATGTGGCCAGTGAAGTCACAACTCTTCCTATTTGTTATGAGTCAGGAACGTAAAATGGTAAAGATCAGTGTGACAGCCAGTGAACTTGTACTTTCAGATGGAGAACTCCGCAGTGTCAACCTCCTT